TGCGAAACAAATTTACTATTGGTGGTCAACATCTTGCCAGCGCTTTTATAAATCAGATGAAGATCATGTAGTTTCTGCGTGTCACTTTTTGAAAGGGTCCCATACTGTTGCCAGTGAGCTTTGTTTCGATTGGAGTACTGACTTGGTTACAGCGATTGGATTCACAACCCCTTTATTAGCTGGGCTATTATCATTGTCGAGTGTACATTGTGACGCAACTTACAAAACGGCCAAAGGACGCTTCGAACTCTATGGGATTATCAGTAACGTTGAGAGTGCAGGATTTCCAGTAGCATATCTCATTTTGAACACTACGAAGGTGCCAAACAATGAAGAGCAAATGGGGTTACGAACAATGACACTTGCTGGCTTCCTTCGTTCTCTCTGCGACAAGGGATTGCAACCACAATACTTTTACACCGATAAAGACTTCACAGAAATTAATACCACGAAAGAAGTGTGATCCAATGCTAATATACAGCTTTGTCTGTGGCATATTGAGAAGGCTATCAAGGAAAAGCTTAAGAGTCACAAGCGAATTCATCGCAATCAATACCAACCAGATGAAGCTGTAACAGAGTTTGATTTTATTGATCCCACTTTCAAGCCTGATCTGGAACGTATTGAGCCCGAGTACTACATAATATGCTCACCGAATTTGTGAGATAAAATTATCAATCTCATCAGAAAGCATTTTAATATGTACTCAAAAATCCCTATCAATGCTGCTGGATGGTTCCTAACAGCTGACGAAATTCGAAAGAGTGCAGTTCACGAAATGTATGATTTTTGTGCTGAAAATGACCTTGTTTTGCTCTGGGCATACTTGTGGTCTGCTTGGTACAAAATGCCAAAGTGAATACTCTGGGCTCGATCAACACGAATGATGATTCCGCTTGGCAAAACGAACATGCCTATTGAAACGCATTGGAGGGTTGTTAAACATTGTTATCTTTCCAGATTCAACCAGCCATGATTGGATTATCTCGTATGGATCATTTGTACGCGTATCCTTCCTGACCAGATCACTCGTCGCAATCAAATGCGCTTAAGACGAACAGCACCTTCTTGGTTCGATGAGTTCAAGAGTGATTGGAAGCAGCTCATCGCAAAACCGATCACTGATGGATACGAGAAATGTTACTTTATTGACTTGGATCGTTGGATATGTAGCTGCCCGTCATTTCTTTGTAGTCGTTTCCTCATTTGCAAGCACTTGGTCCATCACGCAGTTGAAGAGGTGAAATTGGTTGATCCACAAGGCATTCGTCTATTATACAGCAATTTTCAGCGGCGAGAAGATTACCCTTTTCTTGTCTGGAATGCCGGAAAACTGCAAAACACATCCGAAGAGGTAAGTATGCTCCAACCTTCAATTTCACAGTCTAGCATGTTGGATAGTGGGTATATTGAGATGGATGAAGATGATGACGCTCTTGATCTGGAAATACGTCGTGTTTGTGAGCTAAAAGTAGTGACTATAAGACGTATGGCAGAACATCTTGAGCAAGAACTCGCAGCCAATAACCAGCGTCATGTTATGCGAGTTGTTAATAACACTAACCATCTATTCACTGTGCTGGATGACATTGAGACAGCACAATGCAGACGGTTACGTGATCCAACATGGCGTGGATCAACTCCTTGGACGTTATTTTTGCCATAATATTATTTTTAAAAAAAAAACGTTATTTAGGATGATTTGTATAATGAATTTTGTCATTTATTTTTTTAAAAAAAAAAGTGAAGAAGTCAATAAATAAAATAAAAAATACTTAAAATAATCACTTCGCATTTTCGCATAATGATAATAAATCACAGAAATCGCAGAATAAGTACGTAATGCGAAGTGATTGATTATTTTAAGTTATAATTGGATCATCAATATCGTTGTGTATCGTATTATCAGATTGTAGTTCCGATGGATGGCCGGACCAGAGATCATCAGAACACGTGATCAAAAGAATACGTGTTCGGACAATTCCCCCTATATCCTGGTGCTGTCTGATGGATGGTGATTACTTCTAGGTGAAACGGAAGACAACCGGTTACTTTTTGGCGATATTTTTTTTGGTAACGATCAGGTGACTATTGTGGGAGATGATGACAAACTGGCAATTTTTGGTGGTGATGTTTCAGCTCTCGCTGAACTTTCAGATTTTTTTGATGTTGATGTCACCGGTCCTTCTTCTTCTTCTTTTCCGTATATGGTCATAAACCACGCTGACGCCTTATCCGTCGGTAAAGTAAGTAAATATTCATTTAATTTTCTATCAGACATCCTCCAGAGTTCTGATAGTTTTTTTGCATATTGTTGAAGATCTGAACTCTGATGAAGATCTCCATGGCCAGATTTTCGTTGTCGGCGTAGTGGATCTTCATCGGAGCTGGATTTTTGGCATCAGCGTTGTGGTGATGATACCGCTTTTGGATTCTTTTTTGGTGGTGGTGTCAGATAGGTAATCTCATGATGTGGATGTTCAACCAACATCTATTTCAATATTTTAATGATTCGATCCAGTTGCTTTTAGGATCACGATGCAGTGTGACTTCTTCTATTCTATTAAATTAGAATAGGTAACATCGGTAAATTTGATAGATATCAGATCAGCAATGATCAGTAAATATGCTGATCATCACTGATTTTTTGGTTATACCAATCCAAAATCTGCACAGAACTCTGAAAATAGAAATTTTGGAGTTGTATAACCCAAAGAAACTGTAATGATTAGCATATTTACAGATCATTACAG